GTCCTTTCCATCTCGGCTGAAATGATGCGGAGCGAGAAAACGAGCTCGGACAGACGTATAAAACACAAACGTCGATACAATATTGTGGACTGCTCACGGGGATCTTTGTCCGGCCGATTCCTTTGTCGACGACGTTGCCAGCCGAGTTACAAACGCGCCGCCGCGCGGCCGCGCTTTCGCCCCCGTAGCTTTATCCCTCCCGGTCGGAGGAGAATCGCGGCGTTTTAGGTAGAAATGTCGAGGCCGCCACGGCCCGAAGAGAGGAGACCGTCGAGACGGCTTTTGTCGTACGGATCATCTTTCGCGATCGGGTCTTTCGGAATCAGATAGCGGGGTCCGTCGCGCGGCCAGCAGCGTGCAAACTTGATATCATTTGTCACTCGTCAGTCAGGTGGATTAGCCTGGGCGGAATCGTAGAAAGGGAATTATGAGTGTTCCTCTGCTCGGGGCCAATAACGAGGCCGAGCGCGTGCGCACGCGGGTTGCCAGATGTCCTCCTCCGGGAAGGATTGTACGTCCTTCTAGACAGAATTTTCATGTCCTGCCAAGGACGCTGTCAAAGGAATATCTTTTTTGCTTGCCAGGTATGCTGCGTATAGTAACTTATCATAGTCATTACTACTAATAACATTTTTGTCACGATATATTTTTGTCGATTAACTTTTACAAGGAACAGAGGATGGATGTCGACAATGCGCAGTTTAAATAAATAATTATTGCGTGTATTATATAATGTGGTGGATATGGTATGGATGAAACTTGGTGGCCCTGAGCATACGATTGGCTGTTGATTTGGGTATATCGTGTTGCTTCTCAATTTGTCTCGTAGAGATTTGAGGATTCAAGACAAAACGGTACCTATAACAGCCAACGATGTGACCTCGTTAGGGCTCGATTTTCGACGTATTCATTTAAGAATGCCCTATTCAGCTGTGTCGCAAAGTTTCTTTATTACCCTCCAATCAAAATGGCGTCTGTTTGGGAATTTTTCAGCACAAAGCCTTTCTGCTATCGAGTAATTATTTCTGGCCTCACCCAACATACGAATCATATTCACAATTTCATTTGGTGGATAATCGACTATAATTATAATAAAAAAAAAACAAAACAATTATAATAAGGAAACAAAAAACTTTGCAAAAGTACAAAGAGTGTCTATCCTAACGAGAAAAAATTAGTAGATAATAATATGCTCTTCTTACAATGAATAAACTTCCACTGTTTGTTTAGATCAGAAACTGCGCGATGTCCACTGACAACTGTTTGTAGCGTGAGTGGAATAGAAGCCCGAAAAACGATACGTTTTTAACGTAAAATTTTCACTATTTCTGGATTTTTGGGTCGTTTATCGATCTTGCCTTATAAGTTAAAAAGTATTTAACAAATGGTACTTTATTATATATTGGGTTTTGGACCTATTATATAGGTTTTGGATATACTTTATAGGTTTTTGGAAAGCTCTCGATGTAAGCTAGAAGAATATGTCATGAAAAGTAGATGGTTCCATTTAAGAAATTGAAGGTGACTTTCACCTGACTTTTAAGCAACTATTCAAGGTCGCACTAATGGCACCATCTTATATCCCTCTCGCAGCCATACAACCTATTTTGTCTAAAACATTTTTCCATCCGAGCACATTTTGCAATGATAATTGAGGTGCATTATTAAAATGAGACACCCTGTATATAGATCTGTATACCTCTGGCTCCAGTTCTATTAGACATCACCTCGTATCGAGTGAATTCCCCTTGCCCGAATCGTATGCATCTTCGTTGGAAATTAAAGTGAGTCTGTATGATGTGTCTCGTCCAACAGATTCAAATCGACGAAAATATTCACTCGTATGACTTAAAAATCCACCTTAACTCTTAAAAGCTACCATCAAATGTCATCGCAAGTTAACTTTTCTTGTTAGGTTCGTAACAAAGTTTACGCGAGAACTGATCTGTTTTACCATACTTGTAATAGTTGTCTCTGTCGATAGTATGAATAATTAAAACAAAATTGGTATTGTAGGTGTAGTTACGTTTCTTTTAATAAAATCAAAAATTCTCATGGAAATTTCATCCATGGTAGCCTTTAAGAGTTAAGTCTGAATTGAACACCCAAAAAAAGTAATTTCAGAACAACCGAATCATCTAAATTTTAGAGGATTCTTATATGTAGCCTCAAGAGGATTCCTCTAAGATTAAGAGGAAAATATTATAAATACATCATTCTTAAAGTTAGAGGGATTATACATTATATGTATAATGCAAATCTTATTGATTTTAATATAACTTTCTTCTTATGTATAGATTATTTAATCTTTTTTAAGAGAATTATTATTTATTCTTACTGGTTATAGTAGTTAATTTGAAAAAAATTATTATAAAGTATAGCGAAAAATCATATATAGTGGCGTGCAAAACTTTTGAGCCACACAATTATTATTATATATTCATTTCATAATGAGCGCTAAAAACTTTAATCATATATATAAACAAAATGTATTTATTTGTCCTACAATTATATAAACTTTACAAATTAATAATTCTTAATAATTCTAAATACTTTATTTTTACACAATGTCTTATTACAAACAGTGCAAAAGTACTGCGCCAAAAAGTTTTCTTATTCATAAGAAAAATATATTATTGAAAAATAATAACAGAAAATGTTGTCAACGTTTTTTTAAACTTAATACTTTGTTGCCATGCCATTCATGCCATGAAGCAATCACTGCAGCACAACGGCGAGGCATTGACGCTACTAAATTAGAAATGCGATCTTGAGGTAAATTTTGCCAATGAGTTTGCAAATCTTGCCACAATTCAGCTTTATTGGAGTGTTTCTTATTTCCTGTACGTAGTTTGAGTTCTTGTCACAAATGCTCAATAGGATTCAAGTCCGGCGATTGCGAGGGCCAGTCAAGAACTCGCATTCTTTTCACGATGAAAAATTCTTTTATTAGTTTTGATGAATGTTTGGGATCGTTATCTTGTTGGAAAATCCAACCACGTGGCATGTTTCGAGTTATATGGCAGCATATGCTGTGTCAATATATCTCGATACATTATAGCGTCCATAATACCCGTGATCTCAACTAATGGGCCAACTCCATATAAGAAAATGATCCCCAAACCATTACGTTATCTTCACCATGTTTTACGGTAGGAATTTGGTATCTTGAGTTATATCTTGTGCCTGTTGGACGTCGTATATACTTTCTACCGTCACTTCCGAATAACTGAAACTTTGACTCGTCAGAGAAAAGTACTTTTCGCCAATCAACTTCAGTCCAATGTTCAAATTTCTTTGCAAAATCTAATCGAGCTTTCTTATCTTTTGCATTAATTAATGGTTTTTTTTACACCAGCACGTCCTAAAAATCCTACTTCTTTAAACATCGAGATATTGTACTTCGACTAATATTAGCAAGATTTTCTTCTCGTAGTTCTCGAGAAATATCCATGGCAGTTTTTCTAACATCTGCTATCGACTTTCTTTTAATCATTTTATCGACGCGCTTTGTAGTTTTGCGAGGTCTACCGTTTCGTGGTTTATCAGCTAGAGAGTTCGTTAACTTATATTTAGCAATAATCCTATTTACAGTACTTTTATCAATTAATAAACAATTAGCAATTTCGCGAGAAACCTTTCCTTGTTGAGAAAGATTAATCACGGCTTCGCGTAACTGAAGGCTTGTATGTTTCGACATTGCGGTAGACAATAGATTGAACCTTAGTTAAAGTAAATATTTACGAAAGAGTTTCATAAGAAACGTAAACAAACCGGGCTCATAAAGTCACAACAAGAATACGGCTCAATACTTTTGAACACATGTATATTATATGACTAAATATTATATGACTAAATATTATATGACTAAATATTATATGACTAAATAATTAGAAACTATGTAATTTCAAAATTTTTTAACTGTACTATTATTTGTAAGAATGGTATGTCAACTATTTTATATAATTAATTTTTAGAGTAAATCAATATATTGTCATGTATCTTAAAAAGACACTGTAGCTCGAAACTTTTGCACGCCACTATATAGGGTGTCCGGTAATTTGCTGCCAAGCCGAAGTGTGAAGGTAGATTAGGTTAAGACAAACATAAAAGTCTCATACCGTTTTGCGAGATTCGCAATAATTATCGAATTATTAATGACAGAAATCTGAGGAGTGGGAATGCGCCGACACAGATGATTGGAGAAGCGTTGCAGCTACTCAAGCCACAGCGCCGTTGTGAACAAAAGAAGCCGACATTCAAATCGACATATTCCTCTTCATATAAGAGGAAAATTAATTGATATAAGAGGAAATTCTCTTGAAATAAGAGGAAAACAGTTAGAATAATATCTAATAAATTTTAGATGAATAGTTTACTTTAATCACTTTATCGAAATAGGAATTGTTTTTCTGTAAAAGACTTCGCTTAGAATATGAGATTATTGGACAAATCAATTTACAAATAGAATACTTTTTTCATGTATATACATTTAAAATATACATGTAAAATGTACGAAATGTGTAATTTGTGCAGGTGAAATTTGACGTTCGGAAAGATGACAGGCTTATTCCACCCGACAGGTTTTCTTTTTGTTCACCAAAATTGTCGGTCGTCCTTCCCTAGCAACTTACAAATCTGGCAACCCTAGTTTGACGGCTCTGCCGCTGAGCGGAAAAGTCCTGTCAAGAGGAACAACAATGGAGGCGCCGACAGCTTGGAGTCAATCATCCTTTCTCATGTTCGTTAGATTTTACAAAGATTTATCAGTGGGAACGGATTTGCCAAGCGTTTAGGTATGGAGCATTAGGTTGAAAAAACAAGCAAACATTCGTTTCGGCTTTTTCCCTTGGAACGTCTGACGAGGTTGAACCATCTTATCCACTCGAAATCTTCTTAGCCATAAAGTATTATTTATTTATTGTGCGAGTCGCGTGAAAAGGGAGAGAAAGAGAGAGAGATCAATACATACATTTTTATGTAACCAAATTATAGCCCAAGGTTGGTTCAGGTTAGATTAGGATTTATAAAAAAAAGTTTACACACATACAATCTGTCCAACAAGAAAGCGTTGGTGATAATCTGAAAAGGATAAAGTTAAGTGGTTTTTTTAAATGAAAATAGAAGATTTTTAGTAATGCGCAATTACCTAATATTTGATCCAGTCGCTTCCATTATCAATTATTGCTTGGCACCGTTTTTGCATATTTTTGACCAGATTTTCGGCGTATTCTGGCAAAGAACGCCATATTGTTTTTATTTTTATGCACAGCTGCTTAAAAGTGAAGACACGCTTTCCTTTAAGTTTCATCTTAAGGTATGACCACACATTTTCGATGGGATTTGCGTCTGGAGAGAATACCGGCCAATCCATCATAATTATCCCATTTTCGAGCTTTTCTGACAGCAGTGGTTTCTTCATGGTGGACCGAAATGTGGTGATGCCACATCATTTTTATGCAGGCGGCTTCTGATGGTATTAAGCGAAATATGTTGACCTTCTCAGCGGAGTTTTATTTGGGCCTAACGCAGGGTAAGATTGGGATTCGTCTGAAAAAGACACAAGATCGCTTTGTTCTCCTTCGGAGTCATTGTATGAGACAGCCCTCTTTCTGACAGGTCGTCAACATTTCCAGTAGTTTTGAATTTATTTACTCACTTCCTTACGAAAGCCTCTGACTTTTTAATTGCTTTAGCAGTTGTCGCGATTGTTAATTTTGGTCCTTTAAAATGGTTAATAAGAAAAATCGCCTCCTAACGCTTCAAATATTTTACACTTATTTTCTTAAAAATAATGTTTACTTTTAATGACTACTCAGTGCAACTTTTTGATATTGCGCAAAAGAAGTTAGATTCAAGATTCAAACGGTATAAGGTAGATGATGTTACTATAATTTTCTACAAAAATATCACTTTCTTATTGAACAGACTGTATCTCGATATTGTCGCAGCGGGGAGAAATGATGACAACGTTATTCGTTTCTTAATTTATTTATTCAACTTACGGAACCCCTCGTTCAATTCTCATACATCTCGTGGACGTTATCTGCCGACTGCGAAAGATTCCGTGGGGGAATCCGAGATATGAAAAAACCTATAAAATACTTGCTACATTATAATGGTCCGTTGACACGATGATGGATCGTCCACCTTGACCGGACAGGTAAACGTGCTTTCACACTAATGCGCTGAAAGTGTATAATCGTTGCGGCACACGCAGATATATTAACAAGGGTCAACAACTCCATCAAATCTCGAGAGTCGTGTAATATACGTTCCGACCGCCGCAGTTGTGCGTGAGTGATAAGCGGCGCACAAAGCGAAATGCATCTCGGTACGCCTTAATATATGCCAAATTAAGCTACTAATTTTCTTCGCCGTGCGTTGAATTGTAAAGCGATAAACTGCCAAGACGCATACTGCTCGGATGTCGGAGTTATCAGTTGCGCATGTTTCGAGATTCGGCGAAAGAGGAGTGTCGAAAAAGATCGCGCGTATCCCGTTGGAAGGAGAAAAGGTATATTTCATCCAACTTTCAGGCTTGTGCAACAGCGTCCATCTCGGATTTCTCTCTCTTTCTTCGTTCCAGTTCACTTCCTCGGGAAGAGGAACACCCAGAAACTTTCGAAGAGTTTTTCAGAGTTTCTGGCTGTTGCTCTCTGGCTGAAGAAGCGAACTGGATGTTCACGAAACGTCGAGAGCAAATCCAAGATGGACGCGGCACGAAGCCGGGAAAAATATATATTTATATAAAAAATATATATATATAACTGCAGCGACCTGGAGCGCGCTTTGAAGAAGTTCGGCCGGCGACCCGACGAGCACAATTCGCGCACGGCCGTGCAAATATTTCTCAAATTGACAACCGCGCAGGGGTGGGCGCGTTACGCAACCCCCGCGTGGTAGATCGGCTCGGCGAAGGAGGGTGTGCGAGCCGTCGAGCAATAAAAGGTCTTTGCACGCGCAGCTAGGAGTTAAGTCGTGGGTAATAATTACCGATCCCTCGTTAGCGCCGCCAATAGACGGTCTCGCCCACCTGGCCACGTTATAATAATATAAGCCGCCTCTTTTGCGGTCGGTAGCCCTCGCACGTGCCGCAGCCAGAACCTCCTTTATTCATTTTCTCTGCCCTTCGTTTCGCTCACCCTCTCACGCCCCCAGGCCGGGCGCCGGGAGAACGCTCCCGAGTCGTCGAGTGGCCCGATCCGTTTCACGGTTTTCTAGCGCTCGGGCGTCACGTTACGTCAGGGATGATTCCTCCGAATCCTTCGATATATATCGGATAATCTCAACTCAATCTAAGTATAACAACGCAGCGTGGCCGCGCTCTCTCTCCCTCCCTCTCTCTCTCTCTCTCTCTCTCTCTCTCTCTCTCTCTCTCTCTCACTCTCTCCCTCTTTTGTATACTTTTATTTTATATTTTTTTATATTAATTTCTTCATTTTGTATATCAGTGTTAATTATCTACTTTTCTTGTAAACTATATTTTTAATTTTCTTTTATTTTGTAATTTCTGCCTTCGCGCTTGAGGGGACTTTGTCCCAGAGCGCTCAATAAATGACGCTTCTCTCTCTCTCTCTCTCTCTCTCTCCCGCTCGCGCGGTTACAAAGGCGTAATTCGAGAATTTCTCCTCCGCGAGTACACACTCCTCACCTGTCCCTTTTTTCTCTCCCGTTCTTCCCTTCTCACGCGAGTCGATTAGCGGGGATCCTATAATTGCGACGATATATTCGCCGATAACTTGCGCACTAGGACGAAAGTGACGAAACCGGCGAGATTATGTACGCGCGAGGATTATGCAGAAATTGATTATCGCCGGCTATTGCGGAGGCAACTCCTGTCTTGCGTCGCCGGCTTAAAGCACCCTTTTCGCAATCCTCCCGATATTCTCGTGCAATCGCGCTCGGGCTTCTCGCTCGGTTAATTGCGTTATTCAGAAACGATCAATCAGCAATTAGCGATCCACTGTCCAGCCGGAGGACGCCGGACCGCCGCTACTCGCGCGCCATGAAAGCCACCGCGAGAGCGAACAACGTGGAATTATGAATCGCAAAGCCTGAATAAGGCGCGCGCGCTAACCGTATCATTACAATTCCTAATCAAACGCCGCCGTGTTCGCGGCCTCAATTTGTGAAATCAGATTGCGAAGTAACGCGCAGGAGCGTCTCCCGGCGACGAGAGAGCGGCGGAGACCCCCCCCCTCCTCCGCTGTCCCGCTCGTTCTCGCGAAAATCGTTTTTCACCGCGCTTTTATCTCCCCGACGTTACAAAATAATCCTTTATTTATTCTCTCTTATTTATACAAAGCGGCATTTGTTCACCTGTTATGCACCTGTTACATTCAACAGACATATCTTTCTCTCTCTCTCTCTCCCCCCTCCCTCACTTTCTCTTTCTCTCTTTGTCGGGGAAAGGAAACTCTAATCGCGCAATCTTTTTCTTTCTTTCTTTCTTTCTTTCTTTCTTTCTTTTCTTTCTTTTGACGCGGAGTCTCCGTAGGTGCCAGAACTACGCGATAAACGCAGCCCTCCTGCATCCCCCCTCGCCCTACGCTCCGCGGATTGCGAGCGAGTTGGTCTGAAAACGGTGACCGGTCCGGCCGATACGACAACGCAACCAGTTCGGCGCGTCGTTCCAGCGCCAATTTGCGCGGCGTCGCGCGACCGAGGAGACACGGCCAAAAAAGGACTAGCAGAAGAGAGGAGGTAGGATGGACGGGGGAAGGGAGAAAGAGAAAGAAAGAGGCACGCAGAGGAGACCGGTAACACGTGATAGCGCATGACGAAGGCATGATGGATGAGGGGGCGGCTAGTTTACGTGATCGGGACATGATCGCTCGCAGACGGGGTGGTCCGTTTGTCCGGCGGTGTCCGTCTTTTCTCTTTCTGCCTCTCGAGAGAACGTGCGCCTCCCCTCCCCTCGTGCCCCCCTGCGCCCGATTCCTTGTCCTGCCGCTCTCGTCCTCGTCGCGTACACGTCGCGTGCACCGGGGAACGCGGCCGAACGCGCCCCTGTCACCGAGCCCGAGCGATCCTCGTCGCCGTCGTCGTCGTGTCCGGCGAACGCGGAGCTCCGCCGGAGAGTCGCTCGCGCGAGCGCGCGCGCGTGGTATGACCTCGCATGCCGATGTCTCGTCTACTCACGCGCCGGCGAGTAATACTGCGCTCGCGCAAAAATGTCGCTCGCTGTGCGAGCGATTCCGCCTGCGCTACCATTCGAGTCGAGCCGAGTCGAGTCGAGTCGGGACCGCCGCGGGCGAGTTTCAGCGAGTTCGCTCGAGAAGTCGACCTTGCGTCTCTCTCTCTCTCTCTCTCTCTCTCTCTCTCTCTCTCTCTCTCTCTCTCTCGCTCTCTCTCTCTCTCTCTCTCTCGCTCCCTCTCCGTGTCTCTCAGGTGTCTCCGGACACTTCATTCTGAAGCTAGTATTTGCATTATGATTGATTAAAGGGAGGATGTATAGTTCACCTTGACTTTTTTAATCGGATCGCCGACCACAGCCCGGACCAGCTCTTGCCCTGCATATGTGTGCGTGCGCGTATGTGTAGCTGTACGCGGCTCTCTCTTATACCAATTTAGACCTCGGAGTGACCTGTTTCGTTTCACCTCCGGCGCTGGGTTGTTGCCCCTCGACGCGACGATCCCTCCGAGAGGAAACCCTGCTCGAAATTTCAATTCTACGTTACACCCCGCAGATCTGGCTGGACTTGGCCGTGGCAGTCGTGACGGAGAATAAGTCCTCCCGCTTCCCTAGCTTTCAGCATTTCCCAGTTCTGTGGAGATCTTCAGCGTAAGAAGATAACCAACGAGATTTCGAAAAAATATTTGCGTCTTCCGCCGCATTAGTTCTCTCAATATCACCGCCCCCGTCATGTATATTTAATCTGCGCAATTGAGATATAATTAATTAATGTATTGAAATGATTGTCCCCAAAAAAATGTTGTTCCCCAGCTCAATACACGAGAGAGCGGGACGAGCGTCAAAGGAAGAGAATAATCTGTGTAGTGTTACATCTCGAGATTCTTCGCGCGATTGGTCCTTCAAGTTCCGGCGGGATTCGCAGGGCCGAAATTTCGACTCGGGGACCGTCGCGCTGCTCTTTTTGCCGTTCTCGTCGTCGTTCTCGGACGCGGCTCGACTCCGCGAAGTCGCCGTTGAAATTCGTGCGGACGTCGAGGACGGGGCGGCGCCGGAGAGGGACGTCTCCAGCGGGACCCGGAGTTCACGCTGAGACGCTCTCGAGGACGAGCTCGCGCGCTCCCGAGTTTGACGAGGGCACGGACGAGCGGCTCTGATAGGAGGTCCGCGTCGTATACAGCACGGGACCAGAAACCAGTAGCCCCTCGTCGAAGCGCCCCGCTGACCTCTCCCGACTGCCTCTTCGCCGAGGATTAGACCGCGGAGACGTTCTGACGTGAGGAATGCTTTGCCGGTGCCGAGAGCGATCCGAGGGTGCCCGGGAACGAGGTCCTGCCCGCCTCCTCGTCCTGCTCCTCCGCTACCACGTCGCGCGCTCTTTTTTCCATTTTCGACGATGTTAATTCTCGATATAACTGTCGCGGCGGGAGAGAGGCTGCGCGAGAGGAAACGAGGCATCTAATTTGAATGCTACTATATTAGCTGCCGCTGCCGGTGACTCGACAATGTGGACGAAGCCGCGCGTCGGCTCGCGAGCGGGCAAACCGCACGAAATTCGTGCTCGCTGGATGCGGCGTAAAATAACGGTTTGACATCTCATCCCGCTAATGAAATCCGGCGCATCCGCCGTTTCCCTCCCTCTCTCCCTCGCGCGCCGGGAAAAAAACGAGAAAAAAATCATGCTCCACTCAGCGAGGCAGTAAAGAGGCAGAGAGAATGATGAATAATCGCTTAAACGATTCCCGCGCTGGCGATCGCAAGCTTCACTCGCAGAAGAGGAACGACTCACCGGCAGCAGTCTGAAATTCGAGATTCCGAGAATCCCGAAAACTCAATTGGGGAATGTCGTCCCGCGACAGCAAGCCGGGCTCTCGCGGAAGACGAGCGCGAGGAGGAAGGAGTCCTTTCCGTTTCCTCCACGCGGGGTTCGGCGAGATTGAGGGACGCGGCTCGATTAAGGGAATTATATGCGGAGCAAGCCATTTTCAAGCCTATTTTTACGAATGTTTTTTTTTAATAGAAACGATAGATTCGATGGACTTGAAATTTTCACAGTGTATTCACTAATGTTCAAAGTGTAAGATAAATTTGTTACCATCTCTATGGAAAGTACACGTAAAACTTTAAACGCGTTTATCTGTTATAAACACCATTTTCTTAAACTGTCGGCACGATTACGCAAAAACTATTGAAGCGAATAACTTGAAACTTTTACACAATATAGTTTTCGCTCCTACCTCGGACATAGTTATATTTTATTTTATTCATTTTTTAAAACATGGTTACAAGTTGAAAAAAGTTTCACTTTCGATACTTTTTTTTTGTATAGTCCTTGTATAGTTTGTATAATATTTGTATATTTGTTATTTTCTCAAACTTGGCTTCACGCTGCTTTCATTTTGGTACGGGCTATAATGGCAACAGTATATTTTAAAAATCTTTCTCATTTCTTGATTTCAGAGTTGAATGAGAGGCCCGGAATTATGCCGACAGCAAATATAGAACAAATATAGAGCAAACGGATAACTGCATCTTTATCTATAATTACAAATTGGACCGGTTTTTGCGATTCAACAAAATTTATTTTATGCTTTGAATATTAATGAATACACTGTGAAAATTTCAAGTCAGAATTGATCTTACTGTTTCTGTTAAAAGAATTCGTAAAAATAGTCTCGAAAACGACCTTCCGCATGTAATTCCCCCCTTAAACGCCGCGGATCGACGTGGAAGACTCTCACGGGCGGCAGTCGCGAATCGTTGTCACATCGATCTCGCACAGATGAGCAATCAGAGGACCAACTGTTTCGCGACAGTCGGAAAGCACAAACGGCCGCACTGTCGTCGTCGGTTACACATCGCGGTCGAGCGAGCGCTCTCTCTCTCTCTCTCTCTCTCTCTCTCTCTCTCTCTGAGATTTCTTCTATTTTCGAGTCGCCCTTTAAACGTACAGCCTGCCGCGTGTCTTTACGCACGCGTCGCCGCGTAGAAAAGATATTTCCTTCGATATCGAAAATAAATGAATCTACGCAGAGCGCCGTTTTCTCTCGACGTGATCGAGCGGCCCGCCGAACGTTTATTTTTGCTCACGCGCGCAAGTCGCGCTAACATTTCTTCCCTTCTACGAGTAGGCGAGCGCGGGAACGTTCGCTCGCCAACGTGAGCCGCGAGCGCTAAAAATAAGAGGCTGGATGTTGACGAGCGAAGAGC